CACACACACACACACACACACACACCTGTACAGATATTGTTTATATCATGATTGTCAGCCAAATATACATATATCCAAATAGAGAGCACCTATCAGGGCCAGACTAATAGGACAATGAAGAATCTTTATTCCAAACAACTGCCTGCATAGGCGGACACAGGCCTTGGTGCTCGCTGTTATGCTGCTGTATTGCAATAATGATCTGGAGGCCTGCCAACTTAATCACCAATAGCAACCCCAGGAAGAGGCAAAACGGAATAACAACTGTCCCGAGCTCCCACGGAGAGAGCCTTGCAAGGGGATAGGGCCTCTCAACAGACTATAGGAATGCCACAGTCCCAAGCGGGATTCGGAATACAAAATGGCACCGGCAGTTATTTTGCGTGACAAAATTCAGCAGCAACTGTCGCCTCATTCAATCAGGAGAAGAAGTGAGGAAGGGAAAATACAAATGCAGATGCCCCCTCCCTTGTAGGTGTTCTGAGATGGGAGAGAAATGCCTCAGGCAGATTTAAACTGATCACACTCCTTAAAACAGCACAGCAACAAGGGCTTCACAATGGCAAGTGATTTTAAAATGCCTCAGACCACCGCAAAAGCAGCTGACTGCACCCTGTGGAGCCGAACTTCGCTCCAACAGTTATAATTGCGACAGCTATAATTACCAAATTGCCATTGGAAGTAATTATTTTAAAGTTTGGAGAGATCCCGTTTTCAAAGGCTGTGAATCAAACCTGCTCTTTTCTTTCTATTCTGGCCAAGGAAAAAAGCTGCCTAACCAGCAAAGGCTGAGCAAAAAACTGGGGGAGGCTAAGGTGGAGTACATGGAGGAGTGTCCTATTAATTAAGCTCAAACTATCTGAGCAGAGACTAAGCACCTCCCACTACTGGATGTTCGGAGCAGCTCATTGGAGAATGCCCCTTGCATGTTTTCTGGAACGTGTGCTTATTTCACTCTGGTTTTCAATGTACATTTTTCAGTTGGATGTGAGGATCATGGCCACCCTCAAATAATCCAGGACATAATTTAACAAATGACCAAAATGGTCAGGACATGTATTTTCTAATAACAACACTAATAACAGGAAAAATATTAGAACAGAGCCACTCTAATTTTTTTACAATTATAAAACCAAAGCTCTAAGAGCGAATGTCTATGGAGATTCTCAATCATCTAGTCATGTTTGTCCCAAAGCTGCTTTTCCAAAAGGCAACTGAACTTACTGGGTTGCATTCCTTGAAAACATTTCACTTCTCATCAAAGAAGCTTTTTCAGCTCCGTTTATTTTTTTTTAACCCAAACATAATTGGTTAAGAGTCTAAAATTTGGGACAAAACAAATGTGTAATCAGTAAAGTTGTTGTAGATGTTCTAAGGGATCTGTACAATCTGTGATGTTGTACATGCCCCAAAAACACGGGTGCTTCTTAAAAATACTAGTTCTTCAAGCACATTATCTGACAGAGCTCTAAGAAACTCGGTAAATCTAGATAGAGAACTTAAATGTGTGTTGAGTGCAGTAAATTAAAAGTCTGATTTTTTCCTTCATATCTGCAAAAGTAAAATCTTAAATTTTATAAAATATAAAAAATGC